TATGTATGTATCTCTATATGCATATTTATTTTCCTTCACTTTCGTGCTATTCACGTATCGCGTCTTGATTTGATTTGAATGCAATCGGCACGCGCCCATCTCTAGCCCATCGTGGCCATGCACTTACGCGACTTGCAGCAGCTGCTGGGAGCTGGCGTCCAGCGGATCGCGATCGATGAAGATTTGCGGATGCTTGTTGCGCATGGCATAGTTCAGCTGGAGCAGATGCTGGGCGGCAGCCACATCGCCGCGCGTCGTGTGCAGAAAGCGACGCAGCAATGTGGACGCTAATCAATATAACGTGGTAATTGCAGTTGCCACAAATGTGACCGCCCCATCGAGCCAAAGAGCGGGAGAACAGCAGGCCGAGAGAAAGAGAGAGAGAGAGAGAGAGCAGAAAAGGTGCAATTCAGTTGTGGTTAATGTGGTCGCCAGTGGGTTATGCAACTGGCCGTGTGTTGCAATTCAAGTTAGTTAACCCACAAGAGGAGTGATCTAGGCGGCACTGACCGACTAGCAGATACCCTATAGACAATCAAACATTAGAGAGAGCCATTCTATACGACATTTACTCAAGTTGTTCAGGCTCTTCGCTAATGTGAAGATCGACATTTAGCGCTATCAGAGAAATCTCTAAATATGAAATCTCACATGAGACTTCTTTAGACTCGAATCCGAGTCTCTTGATCTTGATATGTGTATGTATATATCTAAAGTAGTTCTTCCAGATAAATCTTTATTGCTTGCTATCTTTCCTTATCTCCATTTAATATTTTTGATAATTGTACAACCTACCCTCGCATATGCTTTCCTGCTGCTTCCATTATAAGCCAAAGTACCCCATTTTGCATGCATACAAGCTTTAATAACTTAACCGATTAAAGTGATAGCCCAAGTTACAGACACGACTCTTCGCTCACCTGGGCAAGTGCTAAGCACGAATACCACCTGGACAGGGTTTACGTAATGCTGGACAATCAAAATCTTAAATGTGATTATGTGTTCATTATGGTTAACAGCTCTCTAGATTCACGTCTAGATAATAACAGGGACTGAATCACAGAGAACCTCTAGTTTAATGGGAATAGCCCGAGACAATAGAACTTTGGATTGCTTAAAATATTAATTACGTCTATAATAATGGCTTTTAATTGCAACAATTCTCGATATTTAACTAAGAACTAAGCTACTTTAAGTCGGACTTTATATAAATAATTATAACCAGATATAACGAATTTCCGAAAATTTGAAGCCTATTCATACATTTCAAGCTGTTCTTCAGGTTGAGTTAGCGCATTAATAATGGAAATATATTAGGTGGAAGGTAAACAAGTTTCAAAGGCCCATTCTAAAATCTTGTGAGTATACCTCTATATCTTGTGATGTCTAATTAAAGCTAGGTTTTATTTATTGATATGAGCAGAGCTTTAAATTGTTGCAGCTTTGGAAGTACATACTTGACAATGTAGAGATATAATTAAGTGTAGTGGTTTTCCACTTTGCACTTCATTAAAAACGCTTTTTTTTTTGCAACCTATCGCTAATCAAATATTCAATTGTTCTTGAGATTTGTTGCTAATATATACACGTGTATGTATGTATATATATTTATGCACAACATACATATGTATTCTATTCATTAGCTGCATATAAAATTTTCTGTTTTTCTCGAAGCTCAACTTGAAGTTAATTGAAGCAATCGCAGTTAAACTATCGGTTAATTCGATCATTTTTAGTCCTGCGCCCAGTTCTACATTCTCTTTTATCGCTTTATTTTCTCCAATCCTCCGCCCTTTTACATACAAATATTCAACGGCAGCTGCGGATGTCCCTTAATTAAATCTTGAAGCTCGGCCACACGCTGGGCCATCAGCTGTTCTGTATCCTTAATTTGCACCATTTCCAGCACTGTCCCGAAAGAACAAAAAGTTGAAACTTCAATTGATGACTTTCAACCGAGAGAATAGAAAAACCGTGTCTGTGCGCCGCTAATTCGCGACTGCAACTGATTTGTGTGTGAAGTTTTTCGGGCAGCGCTGCTGCTGCTGCTACCGCTACCGCTGCCGCTGCCGGTGCTAGTGCTGCTCGCAAAAGTAAAAACAAAGAAACAAACGAAAATTTAGCCAAAGCACCGGATGGGGCGAGGGGAGCGAGTGTGTGTAACATGTGAGTTTAGGTGAAGGCATTGCACTCGCCATGCGACTCAAGATCTGCAGACTGTCCCTATCTCTGTCTCTCGTTCTCCCTGCCCTGCGCCGTTAACTCAATTGTGTGTGTGTGAGCGCATGCGTGCCTATGTGTGTGAGAGAGAGAGAGAGTGTGTGTGTCGCAGCGGGAGTGCAGACGGCTGGGCTTTTTATGCGAATTTTTGTTGTTTTTTGGTCTGCTGGGCTATTTATGTATGTAACCCAATTGCAATTGTTTCATGTGCTGGAAGGTCGATGTGTGTGTGTGTGTGTGTGAGTGAGAGAGTGTGCGTGTTCTATGAAGCGTGCATGTGTGTTTGTGTGTGTCCAGCGATCGTCTACAACTTCTTTTAATCACGTTGCTATGTAAAAATCTGTGCACGTATAAAATACCCTACAATGATGATAATATTGGGTGTCTTAAACCAGCTAGTCAAGTCAGCGAATCAAATATAAATGTAACAGATAGCTTTTTTGCTGTTAAAATTAATTAAATTTAATTATGTAAAAATAGTAATAATTACAATCATGAATTATTTTACATATTAAAGTAAGGGGTATGTGCTTGTGAGTCTCTTTTTGCATATGTCTTTAGTTTTAGTTTTCGGCGTTTTTATCGCGACATTGGCAAACAATTTTCGTACGCGCTCCACTTGCTATGCCCAACGCTGCTGCCCCCTGTTGTCGCCCTTCCACGCCCTTCTTTTGACAGCCCCGTTGCCAGCTCGTCGACATATACATACACACATACGTGTTTCGCAAGCTAAACCGTGCGACACAACAGCAACACAGACTCAGCTTGTATTAAAAGAGGTGAAAAATGAAGAAGCAGCACAGAGGCGGGCGACACCTTAATAACAAAAGAGACAGCAACAGCAACAGAAACAATGATACCCGATAGTCTGAAGCGACACTTTTGCAGAATGCCTAATGAAAACAAAAGCCACAACAACAACGAGAACAGTTAGTCAGGCAAATGGAGATGCGTGAATGCCCTCACATGCACCGTAAATGCAAACATATGTACATATGCATGTATGACAATAAAAAAAGAAACAGATCTTGTTTATATAGACGTAATATAATTAAACTTGTATACTTATTATTCTTCTTTTTGTTGTTAAAAATATATTTCTATTATTATTCTTCTTTTTGTTCTTAAAAATATATTTCTATGTTAAGCTAAGTTTCCCTAGCTTAGCCAAGCTCAGCAATATAGCTAAGCTACTCGCATTGCAAGGGTATTGGAAGCGCTCTGAACTGTAGCTGAGAAGTTGCTTCGCAGGGCATTTCCATGCTTTTTAGCGTACTCGTATATTTAATGCAGTCGTAAAATAGACGCACGCAGCTTTAAAAACAATAATAACAACAGCAAATACAAAAGACCCCGCACATGACACCAAGTTAAATATTTTGTATGTTACTTTTATTGAAAACTGTTTGACCTTGGACAACGCACACACACATACATATGCACGATTTTTGTAACTTGAGAAAATTCGAATTTGCGGTTACCAAAAAGTGCGCCAAACGAAAAAAAATCTAAACAAACCCCGCTTAATATGCTAGGCACAAATTTTAAAGCCAAGGTCAAACAGCAGAGTGGAAAAACAGGTTGTTTTTAGAATCGGTAGCAAAAGTCAAGCAAATATTTGGCGTAGAACTTGTTGTCTAAATTTTACTACTGCATGAATCTCATAATTCCTATTATACATATTGCATATTTCTTTTTTTTTTAGTAAAAGTGCCTGAGTCATTATCAATCAGCAATTTTTGGCATTTTTATGATGACAATTGCAGATTAAGTTTTTCCTACCTTTCAATTTATCTATATTTGCATTTATGTGTGTATGTATGTGTGTGATTCTGTGCTCATGCATGTTTTGATTGTGCAAACTTTGCACAATTCACCGGTGATTGTATGTAAATGGTGCAACTGGCCTACAATCCCCTTAAATTAATGCAAATGTTTATTTTATAAATTAATGTAACGCTAGAATCTTTTGTGCCAAATCATTTGCTTATAAATTGGAAATGAAAATGGTGTTAACAATTCTACTTAAAACTGATCACACTGATGCAATGTGTTTACATTTTGCTTATTATCATATATTTTTGATAGCAAATAAAATGAAATTTAAACTAACAGTAAAGTGCACACAGAAGCTCAACAAATTATAAATACATATATCAACTAAATTTAGGCGCGCATTTATTTTTGAACGCATGTTTTATAGCAAGCAGCTCCGGTCCGCAATGATCCAGTGCATCAAAGAAGTGCTGCCGCTGCTCAACACTGTGAACAGCCGTGAAATGTCAACTGTCAAGAACGCGCCATGTTTTTGCTCACGCACGCATTACAGTGGTAAGAAGAAGCACGTGCTTCAAGTCTTAGGCAGGCGAATAAAACGCAAACAAATTGAATTTGTTGAAAGTAGAAGCGGCAGAAAGGCTTCCAATTGCACAATTTATTATAACCAAACGGCGGCGCCATCATCGGTCATAGGTAACTATAAAAGGGCATAAAAGTAACAAACTTTGTTTGCAAAACATTCACCTAAGAAGAAGCAAAACGCCGCGCTACAATAACAAGCAGAGAGGGTGAAAAAAAAAAACACGGGGAAAATCGCAACCAGTCGCAGCGACAGCGGCAGCGCAGACTCTGCCGATGAGAGAGCGGCATTTGCTCCTCTTTAGAGGCAAATTGAATTGCAATTAACCAAAAAAACCGCGTGGTTGGCTTGTTTTTATTATTATGGCTGTCGCTGTTGTTGTGGCATTTGAGCATGAGATAAACGAGTAATATGAGAATAGATAAATATATTTGCAGGGACCAGCATTGAGTAAAATTGAATAACGGAATTAAGCTACGCCATGGTGCCCATTGGAGCCGTTCACACCGGCCATCCCGGCGTTGTGCATCAACAGCAACAGCAACAACAGCCGATGCCAACCGCTCCTAGTGGACCAAACACGCTGCAGCCATCCGTGTCATCGACGTCGACCAACACAACGTCGAACAAGAGCTCGATGTCGGTTAAGCCCAATTATACGCTCAAATTTACACTTGCCGGCCACACCAAGGCCGTCTCCGCCGTTAAGTTTAGCCCGAACGGCGAATGGCTTGCCAGCTCGTGTAAGTTGTTCACAATTGTTAATATAATAATTTGGATTAACATTTGGGCTTTGCAGCTGCCGACAAACTCATAAAAATCTGGGGCGCCTATGATGGCAAATTCGAGAAAACCATTTCGGGCCACAAGTTGGGCATTAGCGATGTGGCCTGGTCCTCCGACTCACGTCTTTTGGTCAGCGGCAGCGATGACAAAACGCTCAAAGTCTGGGAGCTGAGCACCGGCAAGAGTCTGAAGACGCTCAAGGGTCACAGCAACTATGTCTTCTGCTGTAACTTCAATCCACAGTCGAATCTGATTGTGTCTGGCAGCTTTGATGAGAGCGTACGCATTTGGGATGTGCGTACAGGCAAATGCCTGAAGACATTGCCCGCTCACTCTGATCCCGTTTCGGCAGTGCATTTCAATCGTGATGGCTCGCTGATTGTCAGCTCCAGCTATGACGGGCTCTGTCGCATTTGGGACACGGCCAGCGGACAGTGCCTGAAGACGCTGATCGATGATGACAATCCACCCGTTAGCTTTGTCAAATTCTCCCCCAACGGCAAATACATATTGGCCGCCACCCTGGACAACACACTGAAGCTGTGGGACTACTCCAAGGGCAAATGTCTGAAGACCTACACGGGTCACAAGAACGAGAAGTATTGCATATTTGCCAATTTCTCTGTAACTGGCGGCAAGGTAGGCAGCTTATGAACTCTCAACGCAATTGCAGCATTTCATTATTTATTTATTTTTACTTATGCAGTGGATTGTCAGCGGCAGCGAGGACAACATGGTCTACATATGGAATCTTCAAAGCAAGGAGGTAGTACAAAAGCTGCAAGGACACACGGACACCGTCCTCTGCACCGCCTGCCATCCCACAGAAAATATCATTGCATCGGCTGCGTTGGAGAACGACAAGACCATCAAGCTCTGGAAGTCCGACACATAGGCTGTGGATGGTGTAGCAGCAACACACACACACACACACACACACACACACACACACACACACACACACACACACAAAATCACACATACACATTTCTTTAATAATCCTATTTTAAAACTATTCTTAATGGACCCTTTTTTTTTATTTAAAAAAAAAAAAAAACAAAGTCATCTAAAAACGCGAATCAGCAAAAATGGAACATTCTAAGTTACAATTGCAACTAATTGGTTGCAATTATGTATATTTAAATATTTATTAGCTAATGTATTGGCCACTTAAAAAACAAAAACAAGAAATCTATGGAAGTCCTTTAATTTTTATACTTTTACTACAATGGAAAATTATGTTTAAGTACGTTACGACACACACACAGTCAACTCTCACACAAGAAACAAGAGCAAGAAGCGTGCAAGGAATGTAAATTTAAAATAAAAAAAATAAAAAGTGATTTTCTTTTTTATGTTTTGTATTTTAATAATTCAAATAGCCTTGTGAAGAGGAATAAAAATATACATATAAGTGAACTGGAGAAACTAAAACAAAGTTATTCTGAAAAAAAAAAAAACGTCCAAGGATTACAGCTTTGATATACATATTTGTAGTCTTAAGATTTTTAATCTAAATCATGAGAATTTAATTTAAAAATTCTAAAGTCGATTCAAAAATCTCTCCGGCAATACGCAGCTTCTGCTGCACATAATAATGTAAATTTAATTGGGTTTTAACATTTACCATTCGAATAAAAAAAAAGAAATAAATTTAAACAAAATTTTTAATTTGAAGCAAAATTTATTGTGTTGGTAAGTACTTTCAGTGTTGTTAAGGCGCATTGGCGATAGCACCTTTGTTGGCAGTCCGATATCATCGATAGTATTTCCGATTATTTAGGCAGCACTGGTGACCATCACCAATAAATAATTTCGTTTAAGTACACTAGGCATTCATTTAATCCGTGTTTTTGTGTTGTGTTTTACCCACATTTTTAATCAATATGGTAGGTTGGCACAGCTGTTGCTATTTTTTAGACGGCAAATAATATGTTTCGTTTGTTCTTACAATTATTGTCTTGTTCTCCTCTTATTTACAGGCAGCATACACCGAGGATCAGTTGGCTGGTGAGTATGCGTATGCGTGTGTGTGTGTGTGTGTCCGAGTGTTGTGGAATGCGTGTGTGTAAGTGGGTGTTGGTTTGGAAATGGGCGCAGAAGTTCAAAGTGCCAACTCAAAGCTTGGCAAGCAGCGAAAACGGCAAAGAAAAAACCACAAAACAGCACAAAAGTATTTGTGTATACGTTGTCAACATGTCTCTTTGTGTCTGAGTATGCTTGTGTATGCGTGTGTTTCTGTGTATGTGTATGTGTTACACATCTTCATATGCGGCGCATGAATCATTGATAAAATAAACACATAAAGCGGCCAACGAAAGCAGCCATACGATCGCGTCAATGACTCACACAACGAACGCGCAAAGCAATAACGATTTACAGTTAAATGACATCTTGAAGGATTTGATTGGCTGACAGAATGGCAGATTGAATGAACCGTCTGATTGTCTGTCTGCACTGCCAGGACAACGGCGCAAACTGCCTCGAGCTCGTCTCAGCTGCGACTGCAAAAGCTGCCACTGCAGCTGCCGTCGCTTGCAGTGAGCATTGAACGTCGAAACGCAAACATTCAACATTTTTGGCCATATCCATGTTGGCCGCGCTGGCTGCCATTTACGGCGCCTTTTGTGGGTCAACATGCGCCGCATGGCCCTGGCCACGCCCCGCCGCCTCCGACACCGTCCCGCCCAGCATTGGGCTTATACTTTACGCAATATGCTGTTAAAAATTTTCGCCATTCTGATAACTTAATCAAAATCTACTCAATTGCTTGTCGCACAGCGATAAGTCGTTGTTGTTGTTGTTGCTGCTGTTGCTGTTGATGCAGTGACGTCAGCTGACCGCATTGCACGTATTGATTTACCTGAGCGTCGGGCACGACGCATCGTTGCTGCTGCCGCTCGACGATTGCCTAAAATGGGCAAAATTCTGTTGTTGTATTTAATGCCATTTTTGGCCGGCTAATAACAGCAACAAAAACAACAGCAGAACCAAAAAAATAAACAAACAAAAAAAAAAGCGCGAAAATTGAACTGCGGCATAGCGAAGAGCAAATGCCCTAGCAGAGATATATGTACATATGTATGTGTATATAAATTTCTGTCTTGGCCGAATACTCTTCAGACATCAGGAATTTCAGCAGAATCAACCAACTGTTGCAGCATATGGCTGCAAGTTATTACTGATAATTTGACATAGTTGTAGACAGAGAAGAGGGATTAAAGCCGAGCTGGTATTCCCTGAGCATCAATTAGTTAAGGAAATGTATGCTATCTAAAATCTTTCTGAAACTGACAACAATTAAGTATTTATCCAGTAGGATAGTCAGGAATCTATATACAGCTAATCCAGGAATATATCCATAACGGCTTTTGCACACTTTAAGACATCCATAGAGTACCCTTTGGCAGGGTATCAATGAGCACAGCAACAACCTCTGCTGCCGCAGCCGCATGCTGCGCAATCTGTTGCAGCGTCGACTCAGTAGCAGGCAGTGCAGCCAGGCAAACAGTTGAGATACTTGTAATTAATTGAGAATTGAGAATATCACTAGAGAACATCATGTATTACTACACGGCACACGTGAAGCCCACCTTTACCACGCTCGAAGGTTGCAAATATACATATGCATATATATATATTGCCTAACTCTTATCTGTACATTCTTGTATCTCTATCTAATCGACATTTGCTTTGCCCGTTTGCAGAATTCCAGGAGGCCTTCAATCTATTCGATAATCGCGGCGATGGAAAAATTCAGTTGAGCCAGGTGGGCGAGTGCCTGCGTGCATTGGGCCAGAATCCCACCGAATCGGATGTGAAAAAATGCACCCATCAGCTGAAGCCGGACGAGCGCATCTCGTTCGAGGTCTTTCTGCCCATCTATCAGGCCATATCGAAGGCGCGCTCCGGCGACACAGCCGATGATTTCATTGAGGGCTTGCGCCATTTCGATAAGGATGCTAGTGGCTACATATCGTCCGCTGAGCTGCGCCACCTGTTGACCACGCTCGGTGAGAAGCTCACCGACGAGGAGGTTGAGCAGCTGCTGGCCAACATGGAGGATCAGCAGGGCAACATCAACTATGAGGAGTTCGTCCGCATGGTTATGAGCGGTTAAGCCATTGCCGTCGGTTGACAGATAGGCAGTGGTTAAATCGAAGAAGGATGAAAGACATCAACAACAACAGCATGATGAAAGAAAAGAGTATAGAGTAGGAACACTCACCTGCCATGTTATTAGCTAGCCGTTCATTCCGCCAAAAGTCCAATTCCAATATTCCAAGTTAATTTCTTTCTTATATTTGTATATTTTTGTATATTCTTGCATTTCGCGACAAATTGATATGATTCCATATAAAACAACAACAACAACAACATCGATGACGACACAGAGATGACCTACATACAGAACACACACAAAACTAACCATAGTTTCAAGCCGGGTAAAGCACATCCTTGGAGAGGTCGTATCGTATTATACTAAATTGTTCGAGTTTCTTATTCTAAACAAAAACTTATCTTTATTTCTTTACACACACATACAAGTATACACTGAACACACACACACAATACACATGCATATATAGATCCGTAATGGAACTCAAGTCTTTAACGAGTATCGTAACAAGTATTGCTAATTAATGATTTTGATATCTATGTGTATATATATATATATATATGTATATATGTATGTATATACATCAGAGAGAAGCGTATAATTGAACTTAATGCGCATTTCAAATTTTTACATGTTTTACTTTTTTTTTAATAATTTAATAATATATATTTAATAATTGAAACGAATGAAAGTAGATCTTTTTACAAAAGAAACGTACTTAAAGTTATTAAAAAAATATATGAAACATATAAACAATAACCTGCATTTTACTTATTTTGTTGCCAATATTTCAAATCAACGAAAATTGAAAATTGAATACAGTGTCATAGCATTTAGCTTTATGTCACTCATAAGTGCTAAGCTTGGAAAGCAGCTGAAGCAATAATAATACATTTCCAATCGAACTTAATGCAGTGATGATTAATGCGTACGGATGAAATGACACGACACATATGATTAAGGCTTGTGAGTAATTGAAAATGATGACTATTAAACAAAATTATGAATACAATGTCAAGGTGATGACTTAACTAATGAATCGCCCATTGTGGCCACGGTATTTTAATGGTATTTTTACCATCGCCGTCTGCCGGTCACACTGCCCGAGCCACAGTATAGAAATAAACAAAAGCAAATATGTTGTATTTAATTTGAGCTTTATGGATTTCAAGCAGTGCTTAACTGGTTTTCCTTAATTAGCGCCTAGCGTTGTTTTAATTAATTTTAGTTGCGCTTCCTTTTTAAGCCATGCCAAAAACAGCTGGCGTAGTAGCCACATTGGCAGGAGGTGGCGAGCCCAGTTCGCCAGTGCAAAAGGTTTGGAAGCCCGAATGTGAGTAACAATTCGTTGCATCTATGCCAAATTATTGATCGAGCGCACTCGATTACAGTGTATAAAATACAACTGGACGCACCGGCACCACATCCTGTGCGCTGCCAGCGCACCTTACCTCTGCCGCCAGCCAACAGCACCGCCGATGCCGTCGAAGACAATAGCCAGGCGGTGCGTCTCTATGGCAGCGAATATCATGGCGTGATGGGACACCTGGAGGCGGAACAGCTGCTGGCGAATGCCCCCGACGGCAGCTACCTGGTGCGGCGCAGCCCCAAGACGGATGGCTACTATACGCTCAGCGTGCGCTTCAACAAACGCTGCAAACACTTTAAAGTCTTCCACAAACCGGGCAGCGGGCATCATTTGCGCGAGCAGGACAAACATTATGAGACGGTGCACGAGATGGTCGCCGATGGCCTAATTAACTTCCATATGCAACTGCATGCCAGCCCCATTATACAGCAGATCAATCAGCAAACCAAAAACTGTTACCAGCAGAGCCCATACATGACTCTGAATCGTCGCAAGCTGCGCGCTCTCTCCAATGAGTTGGGCAAATCAGCCAGTGTGGACACATCCGATGCAGCAGCCTCGATGCCCTCAGTACAGGACAGTCCGCCACAGTCGCAGAAGGACCAGCAGCAACAGGAGCAGCAGCAGCTCCAGCCCCAACAGGATCCCATGCCGCTGGTATATGAGAAGCCCCACAACTTCAAGGTGCACACGTTCAAGGGTCTGAACTGGTGTGAGTTTTGCGCCAACTTCCTGTGGGGCTTCACGGCGCAGGGCGTCAAATGCGATGCATGCGGCTTCATGGCGCACAACAAATGCTCGGAGCTGGTGCCTCCGAAATGTGTGCCCGACCTGAAGTGCATACGGGGTGTGTTTGGCACCGATCTGACCACCATGGTGCAGCTGCATCAATGCAACATCCCGTTCGTGGTGCGCCGCTGTGTGGAGGAGGTGGAGGCGCGTGGCATGCTCCAAGAGGGCATCTATCGCGTATCTGGCTTTGCCGATGAGATCGATGCGCTCAAGCTGGCCCTGGACCGCGATGGCGAGAAGACGGACATGTCCGAGGGCGCCTACGGCAATGTCAATGTCATTGCGGGCACCTTGAAGCTCTATCTGCGCCTGCTGCCCGTGCCGCTGATCACGTTCCAGGCCTATCCCAGCTTTATGGCTGCAGCCCGTAAGTAGCCAACGATTGAGCTGTAGCTGACAAATTTGAAGTTTACTCGAATGTCCCTATCCACAGGCAGTGCATCGCCCGCGGAGCAGCTCCAGCTAATGGCGGAGGCCGTGCGTCGCCTGCCACCGGCGCATTTCAATTGCTTGCAATATATGCTGGAGCATCTGAAGCGGTAAATCGAATACTGTCCGGTGTCCATAGTGCATATTTGATATCAATTGTTGTGCCTTTGCCATTGCAGCGTCGCTTCCCATTATGCCGTCAACAAGATGAATGAGCACAATTTGGCGACTGTGTTTGCGCCCACGTTGATTGCCACGCCCCAGCATATGACGAATCTCACGGAGGAGATATTTATGCTCTCCTCGCTGATCACGAACTGCGAGAAAATCTTTGCCTCCAGCTCGAGAAAGCAATAAGCCGCATCTCTCGCTCTTCCACTCGCGCCGTCTCTGTCTTATCCATAACTCAGTCCATCTCTTTCTGATTGGAATCCTTAATTAGTTGTAATAATTTAGCCAAGCGTTTATTCATTTGTGGAAAAAGCGAAAACATTTTGCCGCATTCTGGATGCATTCACCAAAAACTTAGACTCTAAATAGAATTATATATATATATGTACATGTATTAACAAACCTTCCACATATATGTATATTTATATATTTGTCTATATATATATTATACAAGTAGAGCATACCAAACGATACTACATATGTATTTATACACACATTTGAAATTAGTTTTAAATATTCTTTGGAACTAGCATTGAGTGTTGTCAGAATTAACGTACGAATTTAGCAGCAAAATCTTATGGAAATCGATTTTCAAATGTAGTTAGGCCAATAAAACGATAACGGAAACGAAATATTTATATATTTATATGATGTATTTAAACTATGTTAGTCATAAGCTCAAATCAATGAAACGTATCAAATTTCGAATCTTAACTCGAGCCAATCGATTGTTTCAATTGTATCTTTTATATAGTGTGAAGGACAGTGCATAGAACGTATTCAAAGACCATGTCAAGCACTAAGTTTTGATAAGTTATAAGCAACTGTTTTCAGTATATACATATATATCTCTTATCTAGGTTATCTTCGAAATTTACCAAAAAACAAAATAACATGAATCTTGAAAGAGAATATATATTTTTTGACCCACACAGTATTCTATTTGTTTTTAGAGCTATAAACGTATCACTATATTTTATAGTTTTTATCAATTCATTATATTAGTTTTAATACTAATTGAGATTTATTTTTGGTTTGCTTAAAATTGACAAGGTAAATGCCATGAATATCTAAATTAAACTCAAATCGCAAGTGAAATTATATCATATATACATATATGTATGTCTTTTGCACTACTCGATAAAGATAATTCTATTGGCATAAAGATTATTTTCTTAGCATGGTATATTGAATATCTAAAATTGGAGCTCGAATACAAAATCTTTAGTTGTTTACAATTTCATTATATGTATGTATTGTTAATTTAATTTTTCGATATCGAATTCGAAATCTTTAAGTTGATTTATTAAATCAAATTGAATTCAAATTCGAAAATCATATAGGACAAGCATACTAGATGCAAAGAAAAAAAGTCGATTCGATTTTGAAACAAGGTGTTTCAAAACTCTGTTTAAATCCAAGTCAAGTAGCGTCAAGTAGGCATCGACTGACAGCCCGACGGTGTGTGCTGGAGCAGTTGAGCTCTAGGCTCATTCTACATTTGGGCAGACATCGAAATTGTCGTATAAACATTTGAGAAAAAATATATACATATATTTATATAAATGTAAAAAAACCCAAAAAGGCAGAAAATCAAATTTTACGCAATAACAATTCATAATATACATATCTAAATGAATAACGGTGAACGCAAAAAGTGCAAATTATCCGTTTTAACAAAAATGGAGAACTGTCCGTCTAACCGAGGCTCGGACGTTTCTTCAGACGACGACTCTTCTTCTCGTTCAAGGCTAAGTTTGGCTCGCGTAAAGGTTACACCTCTGAGGGGAATTTCAGCTGCAGCTCCTCCTAGTGCACTCGCGGCAGCTCCTAGTGCACCCGCTGCAGCTCCTAGTGCACCCGCTGCAGCTCGCAGTGCATCCGCTGCAGCCCCTAGTGCACCCGCTGCAGCTCGCAGTGCACCCGCTGCAGCTCGCAGTGCATCCGCTGCACCTCGCAGTGCATCCGCTGAAGCTGGAGCGCGTCGTCCAGTCGGTGACTATAATACTGGTGTATCGCCTTATATTGCTGTTCGGGCGCCCGCCAATATACCGCCTGAGAGGCTCGATTCCTTAAGTCCAATGGCATTGGCTTATGAATCACGTGCCAAATCGCCAATGTATTCGATCAGAAAATTCTGGACCTGCTCGGAGATAATTGCCAAGCTGCCGCACGTGCAGAAGCTGTGGGAGACCTATCGGCTGTTCGTAGAGCCACCCAACGTCGCGACCATTGACATACTGAAGGTGGGCGATTGCCTGCGCGCAATGGGCGTCAACTTCGAGGATTCACACATGAAGATGAAGCTTGTGAAGCATCTGCTCCGGTTTCCGCAGCTGAGGCCAGCGACCTCCGCCAACTTCGAGCTGGTCCTGGCCGTCTACAGTGAGGTATTGGAGGTGGATCCAATGCCCGCTTGTGATGTGATGATCAGGGGCCTGAGCTCCTACGACGACTATCATACGCTCATGCTGCCCGCTGACCGACTGCGCCGCGTCCTGAGCACCGTGGGCCAGCGATTCACCGACGCGGCGACGAGCGACATGCTCGACTCAATGACAGATAGGGACGGCGATGTCAACTATGTGACCCTGATGAAGAAACTCTTCCCCATTGATACCGAGACGCCCAACAAGCTGCAGCAGGTGCGCCTGTATCTGACGTCCCTGGGCAAGAACGCCTACCACATGGACCTTGTGAAGCGCGACGACTTAATACGAGCCCTGCGCAAGGCCGACAGAGAAAATACCGGCTATGTGATGCTCGAGACCATGCTAAAGTTGCTCAGAGATACCGATGAAATCTTCAGCTTTTCCGAGCTTGTTGCTCTCGCCAAGGGAATAACCAATGATGACCAACAAATTTATTACCGCAAATTCATCCGCATGATCATGAGTGGATGAGCGAGACAGAGACAGCGAGAAGACGACGAGCAAGAGAGATGAAGCGCCTGGCTGTGAGAGTACATACATACATACATATAATAATAATCATTTCGGAAAATAATTTTAAATTTTACCCAAACTATTCCGAACTATTCCACCATATTCACATCTATTTCCATGCACATACATACATACACACATTTAAAAAATCAATGCTCAGCTGTACTAATTCTCTGCGGCGAAAATACTAAGCCACAAGGCGCGACAATGATCGTCCTTAACATTTTAATCGTCAATTAAAAAGAGAATACTGATTGAACTTTATTAGCTCTGTTTTATTTCTCTTGATTTTTTTTTTAAATATTTTATTATATCCAAATTTAGCGCATTTCTGCATTCTGGCTACCGAAAGCTGTTTGCTGTATCACGCCACCGGCTGCCTGCACACTAGCGCCATCTAGCTGTCATTATCGCCATGTATAACAGCTTGCATCGCTGCCAAATGGCTTACAGAGCTGGCAGCACTGGCTTTAACGGTCGTTCTGCGAGCCAAACCATTAACGGATATTCTGCCAACTGTAAAATCTTCACATTGGCAAGTGAATGGAAATATTGCTTGTGTGTGGATAATGCGTTTATTAAAAAATATTACATTTCTGACGCTTAGGAGCTAAACGAAACTTACGCATATATCATATCATATATGGATTACACATGACAATAATTGATTTCTTTTTATTTTGATTAAGTATAGCGAATAAATAGTTTAGATCTAGAAAAAAAAATTGTGGTTTCTTATATATATATATATCTATATATGTATATAATTTTTTTTATGGATTGATTTGCTTTGTTGTGGAGCTAAAAGTGCTGTTGGAAGCGATCTGGCAGCGCCGCTGTCGCTGCTGCATGTCAGACGTTATCGCTGTGGGCGTGGCTGCCAACGCCACCCACAGACGTTAGCTCCATTTTGATGGGCGCCACAGCCGTTGCCACCGATTGCTGCAGCTGCAGCATTTGATAAGCGCTGCTGCTGCTATTGTTGTTGTTGTTGTTGCTGCTGCTGCTGCTATTGCTGCGCTCCTTGAGCATATCACACTGCGCCTGCGCCTGGGCCTGGGCCTGGGCAAAGCTGCGCACCTGCAGAAAAAGTCCGCCGTTGTTGAGCAGCCGCGCTTGATGCTCCTGCGCCTTGGCGCGCAGACAGGCAATCGAATTGTTTCTGAGAGCGAAATTAGATGAGAGAGAGAGAGAGAGAGAGATTAGAGATTGGAGATTGCAGATGTGCAATCAGTGCTCAATTGCTTACCTAAACGCATCCGGATCGTGCTCCATGAGCGCTGCAGCCGCTGCTGCTGCCGACAAATGATGCGCATGCAATTGCTGCTGCTGCTGCTGTTGTTGTTGTTGTTGCTGATGTTGCTGCTGCTGCTGTTGCTGCTGTTGCTGGTGCTGAGCTGCTGCTGCAGCTGCTGCCACGGCCGTGTTCATTATCAAATGGAAATCCTTGCTGGAGGCAGCGGCGCCAGCGCCTGCTGCATTCGCCGCATCCAGCAGCGGATGGTAACTGGGCGTGGCAACGGCATAAAGCTGGGCGGGCGGCGGCGGCGGCGGCTGCTGTTGGAGCAACTGTTGCTGCTGCAGCTGCTGCTGTTGCTGTTGCTGCTGCGCCTGTTGCTGCGAGGGCGAGGGCGAGCTGAGCTCAATGTGCGGCGAGCCGGAGCTGTTGGTGGTGGCGCCCGTGGGCGTGGTTGCCGCCGACGAGGCAGCCGCATAGCCGCTGCTGCCGTGCGGCGTCGTCGACGTGGGCGGCGCAGTGGAGGCGTTCGTCGGGCAGCTGCTCGGCGCCGGACTGACCACGTTCAGGGATTCCGTCGACGAGCTGAGCGCGCGCGAATGCGAACGCAATTCATCCGAGTGAACGGACTTGGAGCCGGCCGAATCTTCATGATCGCTGACGCCAGAGTCGTCCTTGAGCGTGGATTGCGCCTCAATTGATTTCCGATGCATGCCTGACATACAGAGAGAGAGAGAGAAAGAGAGAGAGAGAGAGAGAGAGAGAGAGAGAGAGAGA